AACATACAGTATATATTCATACACACAACACATAAAATTACCAGAATTCATTTAATTTATTTTTTAAATATAATCATTAATCCCGAGCCTGAACTCTGCTACTGTTCCATTAGCAGCACCCTGTCACTCTTCACATCTCGTGACTAAAACGAACACTAAATGACCTGAATCACCTGTAGTGGTAGTAGGCCTTGGCCAGGCGGCCCACGATCCTGTCGTCCCCCATTACCACTATTCTGGCAGTATAGTGTTTATGCTGCTTGGTGATGGGAGTGTGCATCATGGTGGTTCCTGCCCTCCTCTGCAGCGTGCCTCCTTTCCTCGCCCTCCCTCCGTTTCCTCCTTCGTGATCCTCCAGCGTGTCCTGCATCAGCGCCATGGTTTCCTTCACCGACGGCCTCATCTTCATTCCTCCACGTCTGGACAGCCTCGAGTCCTGATCGCTGTGAGAAGATGACATCGAACGATCATTCCCAGCAGATCATGTTACAGCTACACTACGCTAAACTATGGGTTCCGATGCTGAACACTTTATTTCAATGTGCAGGAAGTGTTGTCAGCATTTCTTACGTGTTGCTGTAACTGAATCATTTTGTTGACCTGCAGTGAGACTGTACAAGCAGCATTTTATTTTGGTCTGTCTTTCTGTGGATGCTGCACTTCTGGGAATGTTTATGTGGGGGTTAAACACCGGTTTGAGCCAGTTATTAAAAGGACAACAGTGGATACAACCTCCCAAAGCAGAAGTAAAAAACAAAGTGTGGCCCAAAAAATAAATGCTGAAGTACAAGTAGCATGAACAAACCATCATGCTTGCAAAAAAATATATTAGTCACACCCAGTTTGCTGAGGACAGTCTCAGCTCCTTAACACTGTACCCATATATGTCTCTCAATTAATAGGTCAGGGTAAAATGACTCATTTATAGTGCCCTCTGCTGGAAAAAGTTATGGAGTGTATGTGATCCTACACAGTCACACATAAACAATAAAATGTATTTATAAAAAAAATCAAGTTTTAACCTCTTGCCAGGTTCCTGCCATGAAGTGCTAAGGCTGGCGTTGTCCAGAGAGGACGACGGGGAAGAGTCCGCGTTGGCAGGGAGGTCTCTTTCAATCCCGCTGTCGGTGGACATGACGGAAAGTCGAGTGTTTTCAGATGCGATGAGTTCAGTGGGAGCGTCTCCCAGCTGATAGTCCTCCTGCTCCTCGCTGAGGGAGAACGAATCTGACATGAAGGTAGATCGAAGCCACTTGGCCACCTCCCTCCCTGTCAACAAATACAAAAAGGTATCATGTGAAAATAAACGAGAGAATTCGTTTAATAAACTGGTGCAGCCACACAATTAAAAATACTAATTTGGCTTGTCCTGTTATCAGAGGTGATCTGTGATGTGTTACATTGGTTGTTTAATGATTTAAATGCGTTATCAGAGGTGATCTGTGATGTGTAATAGTGTTTTACATTGGTTGTTTAATGATTTAAATGTTTGATTTCTTGTGAACGTTCTACCGACATAGTAAACCACACTGGAAGTTATTAATAATGAGGCTTCGATGTTAAGTTTGAGATCCCTGACTTCAAGTGTTTGCCAAGTGCTTTTACAAAGAAAACAAAGTCACATCCAAACATTCGCTGATGAATAAATAACTGGAAATCTAGCGACTGTTTTCCAAAGCCACAGAGATACTGGATTAAAATTAAAATGGTGAAAGAAGATGAAGACCAGATGGACGTGATTATTAGTTAAAATGTTTTTGTTATGGTGTGTAAGAAAACTAACTTGTCCCTGAAGTGTTAGTGTTTGTTTACTGACTGACTGACTAACACTGCAAAATTACAAAGGACTGAATGGATCAATTTGTTGAGCGTAAGCGTGGCTTGTATAATGAATGACTTCACACTCCACCATTCAAGGGTCACACACAAGGGTCTGATTCTTCAACAACTTCCTTCAGACCCCCCACAGACGTGTCAATCACTCACATATGTCCACTTCTTCTGTCCACAGTTGAACGTCCATCTCTGGGTTAGGAAGAGGGGAGTCACACAGCAGCCCAGTGGACAATGGCTCTACACACACACACACACACACACACACAGATACACACACAGGAAGAATGAAAGGAAGAGACAAAAACTGTCACAAAAACACTCAAACAAAACCCCGAGACCTCCCACCCACTCATGACTTCCTCCATGTCAGCTCTTCTGTCCGACTCCCTGCTGTGATGAGCTGGACGCAGGTTCATCAAACAGGCAGCTGACACGATATTGATAAAAGCACAGACAAACGTGGATGTCATGGAAATAGAAATCCGGTCTAAATAAAGACACAGACCATTGACAGACAGGACACGAGGACATGTCTGTGTCTGAGCCCAACAGAAACTGATGGGTCAAACATCTATGAACGTAGATTTAAAGAAATTTAAGTTAATTTGATTTGAATGATTTCATCATGTGGATTATCCATGAAACTGGCGTGAAACCTTTACATCGACCGGCTGATCTATTTTTTTTTCCTTTCTGTTTGATGCAAGATGTTGATTTATCACGAGTAATCCTGATTAACGTAATTAATTACAAGCACGAGTAATTGTGATTAATTGAAAAATGTATTGTATTTTTCAGACTTAATTGTGATTAATTCCCCTGGTTAATCTGATTGAAAAATGTATTGTATTTTTCAGACTATAAGTCGCACCAGTGCCCTCTAGTGGCTGTCAGTGTGAAAATACGTACTGAAGGCTGAAGTTTAGTCTTACCTGAGTCTTTGTTAGTGAGGATTTTACTGTACAGCTTCTCCAGGCGTCTTCTCAGAGCCCCCTCCTCCGCTCTGCCTGCCTCGTTCACGCTCTGCTCAAGAGTCGCCAACACTTCCTGGAAGTGCGACTCCACGTCTTGACCCACGTCCTGTACCAGAAACACACAAACACAGTGAACTGTGAGTAAGTGCACACAGTGGCAACAGCACACGCAGGAAGATAAATACATACAGACCGGGTATTAATAGCAAAGAGGTTAAGGGCCAGTTTCATGTGCGTGTGTCAGCCTTTGTGTGCATCCTGCTGAGGTGTTACTTTAGGGCGACTGCCAAGAGACCCAGTCCACGTACACCTCAGAGGTCTGCACACAAGACCTCTCATACACATGAAGGAGAGGGGCGACTCTACACGCAGCGTCAATGAAGGTGTTGCACAACACTTCTCAGTCGACTGGAGCAGCTCGGCATCCGTTTATGAGAAGAGTGAAAAAAGCAGGCACAACTCAAATGCTCTTTAGATCAAAGTATTCTGCTCTACAGAGCTGTTCCTTTGTACATATATACATACATATATAAATATAAAAGATATACATATATGTACATGTATACATACATATATACACATAATATATATATATATATGTTCATATTTGCATACATATAATATATACACATATATACACATAAATATATACATATATGTACATATATACATACATATATACACATATAGATATATAGGTGCATATATATGTGTCTAATGAGCCATGTCAACACTTCCTGTCCCGTTTTGCTCACCAGTTTCGTGACACTATTCACAGCTCAGCTCATAAAAACACACGTACATAACTGCATCAAAGCCACAGACCCAGCTCTGACAGCTGAAAAGAAACATGCACTTGAGTGATCATATCAGATAAGAAGCATTCAGGGAAAAGACAGCGGCTGAGCTTTACTATATAATATCTGTGACGGTTTCACTGACCTTCAAGGCCTGGGCCAGTTTTGGTCCATGGCAGTGCTCTGGACCTAAAGCAGCCTGGATGGAGTGGTGGACAACATTGCGCATGTGATCTAGAGGGCTCAGAGCGCCACCTGCCTCCACAGCTGAGGCCTCGATGTCGCCCAACATGAAGTTTCCCAAAGAATCAGAGAAGACCTCTGGGTCAGCCAAAACAAAAACTCTGCCAGGGTCAACGAGACAGACATAGGTCAGGTACAACAGATCAAAGGACTAGAAAATATATATTTTGGCCCAGTTGAACTTGACTGTAATAAAAGCAGAACCTACTTCTCCTGACAGGGGTAGTAGTCGTTTTTTAGTCTCTGCTCTGCTGCGACCATCCTCTGGTACATCAGACCTGTGGTTACAGAGTCATTCAACAACACACAGTGACCTCCGTGTCTTACAGCGTCAACAGCAGATTTTAGCAGCCGTTGTCACGACGATAAGATTGTGTGTTCTTATCAAAGGAAAAGAAATCTGAAACAGGTTAAATGCTGATATAGTTTATATAAAGATACAGTTGTATTTTCTTTTGTATGTTTATGTATTTTTATACAGCTATTAGGAACATTTTTTAAAATAACATTTGGAAAGTCACACATTTTACGTTATTCGTGGTTAAGAAATAACTGTTGAACTTTTTGAGTTTACATTTGGACGATAACCAATATCACTTCTTTACTTTTTACATTGATATGAGAAATAAGTTCTGCAACATCACTGATGTAAACAGAATTTAGTGATGCTGTAATGTTCTGTGTTAAATTTTGCTGCAGTTTTTAATCTGCTGCTCTGTTTTTTTTTTTATTTCTACTCACATAGTGTTCTTTTTGCTGGACCATACAAATATAACAATTTTGGGACAAATTAAGTGCATTTATAATGTTACAATTTTTAATAATTATATTTTATCCTCTCTATTTTTTACATTTTTTACATTTGGATCAATGAGAGTGCCTGTAGTGTCTAGGTTTAACAGCTCTATACCTGGAATGGCCCGTTCAGTCTTCATCTGTCTGGCGTAGCTCAGACCGACGGTGCAGTAGGGTTGAGGGAACGTCATCAGTCTTTTGCAAAAGTCATAGATCCGCTTGTAGAGCTCATCTGGAATGTAGGCCGTCTGGTATACCAGCAAACACACACAAAAAATACAACAAGTTGGAACTAAAGCTGGTGTGTTTATGTCAGTAAAGGTGCTGTTGTTGTTGACAAATAAATGGTGTCTGAATGCTAAAATTATCAGAATCCATTTCCTTGTTTTTTTCTGTTCCTGTAATAATGAAAAAACAAACTTCCTCATACTAATTCAATTTGCAATAAAAACCTGCAACTACATTGCGGTTACAATTATATCACTGGTACCAGCCACAAAACTGTCAGTCAGGTGGAGCGTCTGCTACAGTATGTGGAACAAGGTCGGAGACATGACACCAAAAAAAAAAAAAAAAAAATCAGTTCCTTTAAGTGTTGGAAATTCCAAGTGGTAAAAATCCCTTTGTGTATTACCTGTAGTAATGTATAGTAAAAAATACTCTACCTGAATGATGGCATACATCAGAGTGTGGAGCAGAGGAATGATGCATTTGCGAGAATCCCATTTTTCAGCCTGCACAGAGACAATACAGCTGCACTTAACATTTGAAACAAAAAAACAGAAAAAGTCTAGAGCGGCAACAGTTCAACTACAGGAGACAGTAGTCAGGAGACACGTACCCTTTCCAGCTCCTTTATCAGAACCCACACCAAAGAGGAGCTGTTGGCAGGGTTGTTTTTCACCTTCTTATGAAGCGTCCATCTGAGCATGCCTGTAAACACACACACATTATGCTTCATTTTCTCACTCATCCAACATAAAGCAGGTCTGACAACTAACAACAAACACATCACAATGTGATTGAGCGGTGATGAAGCTCTGCTGCTGTTGTTGTTGTTGTTGTTGTTGCTCAGTAAATTACCCTTGTTAATACAGTCCATGGGTTGCTGGTTCTCCGTCTCCCTGGGCATCACCGCCTTGATGCTGCGATACAGCTCCGACTCTGGGACAGTGGGGGAGCATCCAACTGAGTGTGGAGAATGTTGAACTACACATGTATAAGTGGAATTATTGGATGGAGATTATATGTCATTCTGCACATGCTCTATAATGCCTCACACAAAAACACAATTAACGACATTTGTTCTCATATTAACGACATGTCACCTGTGGAATTTATATCCGACAGGTAATGATGTAGTACACAGTGTGTTGTTGTACCTTTTGGATCCATGACCTCAGGTGAGTTATCCCATTGGACGTTGTTGGCCATGGCTCATTCACATTGTGGTTCTGTCAGCTGTGTTTAAGGACAAGACACGAACAGGAAACTTCAGTCTCTACGTCTGGTTGGATACAGTATCTGAAACACTACAGTGTGCAGGTTCAAAGACAACGGCCACATTTTCATATGCACTCGACGATATGTTGTTCATTTGACATTCCTGACTGTCAGTAAAACTCTTCGTATGACGCTGTATTCTTACAGCGTCATACGAGAACTCAACAGACCTGAAACATTAGCGGGACTAAGTCAAACAGTTGTCTGCGTTACGTTCAATTTGATCAGGTTTTTCAATCCTGAAAAGTGAACAATTCAGTCAGTAAAAAAATCTGAGCAAAAAAACACTTTTAATAATTTTTTTAACTGAAAAAAAAAATTTAAAACATGATTTAAGGCCAGACAAGACAGAGAAAATGACTGAAGGAAGTTTGTGAGAAATATAGACTTAAGCAGAATGAATAAAAAAGAAAAAGAAATTCAGTCGACATGTTTCAAAGTCATTCATACTGAAAAAGAAAAAGAAATTCTTGAATTTTACGACAGCTCAACATCTGTCGACATGTTTCAAAGTCATTCATACTCCTACACAAGTCTGAGGAGATGAAAAACATCGTTCGAAAAGATCCACCGCTGTGAAGTCACACACCTGTAGGTCGAGAAAAATGTCTTAGTGCTAAAAATATGACAACTCACCAGGTTCCATAGAGACACGAGGTCCAACTGCAGCAGCACACACATACACACACACTAGCACGCACGAGTGTTTCCTATGCTTTGAAGGAAGCGAGCGAGAGACACAGACGGGGAGTGAGAGAGAGTGAAAAACCCAGGACAGCAGTTCATTGCAGGGTAGCATTTCCTCTTGTGAGAACAAGACAGTCAATGATGGGGATTAGCTCTACCTACGTTTCTAAGTGGGGGTGTGTATGTGTGTGTGTGACGCAGAGCGAGAGAGAGAGACAGAGAGACAGAGAGAGAGAGAATGTTTGTAACACACAGTGCCTTATCACCTAGTTGATCAGGTCAGTCGTTCTTTTTCAATCAGGTTTATTTCAGTACGATGTGACTGTTTCTGTTTTTAGTCTGTTTTTCCCCCCTTATTTTCTACATAACTCTGTGACTCACCTTTTACTCTCACGCTTTCCCTGTCCCCCACTCAAGCAAGCATTCACACACACACACACACACACACACACACTGCAGTCGTGGTCATCCCAGGGCCACAACGTGAACAAAGACATGATTTAGTCAGTCATGTATTAAGGCCCTGATCCCCAGATGAAAAGCACTTTTTTCAGCCACGGTGAGTTGTCATCTCTGCTCCAGCAGCTCGACCCTGCTGTTTTCCTGTTGTCTACGCCGTGGTTTGACTCTGACTCTCTAAGAGTCTCTCCTTTTTCCTTTCATTGTCTGTTTATTTGACACAAACAAATACGAACCGCGTCGGACTGTACGGATATAATGCACCGAGCGAACGTGCACGTACGAACACACTGCACGCACGACACGACACGCTGCTGTTTCAACTTACACCTTCTCTTGTTAAGGTCGTCTGCTTATAGGGTTACTTAAAAAACTGATGTAACCCACACACACGCACACGCATGCACACCATTTCCTGTTGGTCTGAATGAGTGGGTAGATGAAACTATATATAGACAGCAAACAGAAAGCAGCAAAAAGAAGCACACAATTATTTACTTCATGACTGGCGCCACCTCTGCTTAGAACGTGTCAGAGTTTTCAACTGCAGCAAAGTCTTATCGACAGAATCACAAAGATATGATAATGCAGCCACTAGATTACTACTGTACAATGGAGATGGTACTGATGCAGGGGTGTTTAATATGTAGGTCAGATGATGAACAAGATCAAATAAAAAAATATATATATATAAATGTAACTCTTAAGTGTGACCATATACTGTAAGAATTTAATTTAAGTACCAAAAAGAATATAATGTCATATTATGGTACAGACTGTTTCAGTTAGATGTGTTTTTTAGTGCTTTTGCCTTACAGTCAGAATGGTTCTAGTTGGAGCCTCTGATATGGTAACTGCCAAAGGTGTTCAGTATATAACCTGTGTTGATGATAAATCATAAAATGTAAGACTGTAGGCAAGAAAAATGAAAATAGAAATTGATTGATGATGTGTTCCTGGAAAGAAAAATGCTGAGTTTCTGAAATGTTCCAATACCTGTGCAGTTTTTGTTAGTGCTACTCTCTGAAAAATGTCACATAAAAATGTCACATAAAAATGTCACAGTTGTCAGTTGCTGCTATAGCTATGTGCCACATGCCAACTCCAGGTGCAGGTAAAACAATACTTCCTCTGTGACTGTTCACCTTTTATTGTCAATCTTCCCCTCATCTGACCTTTGCCTTCAATAATAAATCAGCTCTAATGCTAATTTAGGCATAACACAGACATCTCAGAAAACAGGATGAACATGGAAGTGCGCGCACGCGGAGGCGGGGATTAAAAACATAAAACAGATTATTATTTATTTTTGTTTTCATGAATGGAAATCCCCAGCCTGCGATAAAAAAACCTTGACAAAGTGGATGAGGTCGGAAAGTACCTGCAAAAAGTGTAGCACGATCAGGTTAATCCTGAAAAACGATGACGTGCACAGAAGTGTCAGGACGGAACATTTAAAAAAGAATGTGTACGTCTGGAGGAAGCAAAATCCTCGTTTCAGAGCAAACTGTTTTAGTTATGCTACTTCTGGTGGTTTAACTAAACCGGCAGGTTGCTCTGGTTATAATGTTTCAATGTGGTAAGACACGCAGAAACAGAGACACCGCGAATAAACAACATTTGACTGAGCAGGACCAGGACATCCATTACTGTGATTTCCTGCAACAATAAGTTGGACAATATGAGGAAGCCCTCCTGCAAAAGTCAAAGACTGTGTGTATGTGTGTGTGTGTGTGTGTGTCATACTGTACAGAAACAACTTTTCCTAATGAGGCAACACTTAATTTCTGAGACTGACGTTTGGTTCAGACATGAAGTCTGGATCAATCAAGAAAGGTCATCTTTGGTCATAAGAATTAAAAAAAAAATGTCCTTGTAAAAACGCCAAGTAAAAACAGAGTCCACAAACATACCCCGCATCTGCAGCAACTGTCAAATTGGGATTTAGTTCAAAAGTTTTGCAATTAGTTACTTCAGTGTTGACACAACTGCAAGTCTGGCAAAACAAGGAGAAGATTTATGT